AACCCTGAAATCTGCTTAAGAGCAACTTTCGATCGCGGGGTCTGCAGCTACATAGACCACGGGAACCTTTAGTAAGCGAATAACCTATATGTCCGTCATACAAGCTTGATGCCTTACCATATAACCTCCAATGTGACTTGTCGTGACATCAACGTATGCGCTTCTATATCCCTAAACCCAAAACTCTGAATCCCTAACCACGGCCTAAACCTTAAAACCCCGAACCGCACACACTGTTGCAGTAGCGAATTTAACACCAGCGTACTTGGTTTAGGGTGCTGCGGGTTAGGCGGTTTAGGGGCTTGGGTTTAGGTCTAGGAGTTTAGGGTTGAGGGCTTTAGGTTTAGGGCTTCGGGCTTCGACGCGAAGCAGAACAAGTAGAAGCCCACACCTGTATTGGGCATCTTGACACCTTCCGTTGTAGTTATGGTTTTGGGTTTAGGAAGTTCAGGGTTTCGGGTGTAGGAAAAAGGAGCTGCTTCAGCCACTGACGCAGCTTCGGTAGGTCTCGTTGTGGTGAGCTGGCAAACTTCAGGGTCTCAGGCATCTTCCTATGATTATGTACAAGCCTGAAGAAGGGAGCAGATCGATCCACAAAGAATCTCCAGCGGTCAGCCTTGCGATTTGGATGGTAGGGTGACTATGCTATGTCGTGTGCCTGCCTGTGGCAGAGTGCGCACAAGTAGATGCATAAATGCATTGATGCGCATGCTCCTGTGCGGCGGCTTGACAGGATGGATGCAACAGAAACTCCTCGCTTCCATTGATCAGGAAGACACGAAAAATTGCAGAGTCTGAGTGGAGGTAGGCTTTGGCATTTGAGCCATCTGGCACGGTCTTTACATAGCAGTCCTTCCCCAGCAAAGCGAGCCCAACTGGCGAGCCTCACGCCTCCCAAATCAAATCTGCCGAGAGCTGCTGCACTCGTTGGTTTGGGAACAACAGAGGATGCAGAAGAAGCAAGCTGTCGTACATGTCTGTCGGCCTCTGGCCGCAGGTGCAGTAGTGGAACAGCACCAGCAGCAGCAGCAGCGGCAGCGGTAGCAGCAGCAGCGGCAGCGGTAGCAGCAGCCGCGGGAGCGCAGCAGTAGCATTAGCACTCACCAGTGGGCCGTAGGAGTCGTAGTGGCAGCAGTAGTAGCAGTAGCAGTAGCAGTAGCAACAGCAGCAGCTACAGCAACGGCAACAGCAGGAGCAGTAGAAGCAGCAGCAGGAGCAGATCACTTCGGCAGCGCGCACGGAATAGCACAACCAATCCACCCTGAACACCCCCCCCCCTAAAAGACAGAACTAATTGTAAGCGATGCCACTGTCGAGTCTACCTTCTCTCGTAGCGGCACAAGAGTGCAAGAAGCAACGGGGCGGATCAAGGGATTGTAAACCTGCTGGCAGTTCATGATACTGACAGTCGAAAAAACTAGTGAGGGGATAGCCGCCGTTGCGATGAACATCGGCGCTCTCCAAGGCATGCGTCGGGCCAATCTCAACCAACTCACCGGAAACATGACCATCAGAAGTAAAACACGTAGCAATTAGTAAGCACCCTTCAGATAGTAAGGTCCCACACCTTAACCACCCAAGCAACACCCTACACGTTCAAATCATTGCCAAGCTAGGCCTAGGGTTGAGGAACCTTCTGACTCTTCGGGGTTTTGGGGTTGGAGACTCTGAAGTCCAGGGATTTTTTGTGTTTCGGGTGCAAGCTGTGGGTTGCGGTGTAGTGCGCAGCCTCTGTCGCGCCTATCCCTGAATGCTGCAAAGGCCTCAGCCCTGCTATCCTAAGCAAAGCCCTTGGACCCATCCACTATAAACTCTATAGAGGGCTCCCGCGTCGCCGCGTCACAGGCCCCCGCCCCGAATTGTGCCCCCCCCCACCCTCCTGGACTTCGGATGTGGAGAATTTGTCAGAGGTTCCACGCATTATAACACACTCCCCACAATTCGAGAAATCAACACTGCTCTTGGGCTCTGGACTTCGGAGTTCAAGTTGTTACTGCTACTGTGTCTTGAGAGCCGGAGCGGGGCGGGATAACCCACAACACAGGCACCCACAGGAACCCGGGGGTGGGGGGGGAAAATTTGGGGGGGGGGATAGCCCAACCACAGGGGGTACCATAGGGTGGGCGGGGGGCAGGGGGGAGCGCCTAGAAGCGCTGCACCAAAAACAAATTCGAACCTTTTGAAAAGCCCTTAACTGGCCCAAATTCCTACACTTGACACCCTCCACACTACCCTGAAGCCATGATAGCCCTGATGGGAACCGGAATTCCTAAACACCAAACCCTAAATCCTAAACCCTTAAACAGTAAACCCCAAACCCAAAGCCTAAATGCACCGGAACCCTGGGGTCCCCTTGTGGCCTTCGCCCCGTGCCCCCTTGGCTTTCAAAGGCTCAGAGCTTGGCTGCCGGCTCCAGACCCTGGTAGGTGCGCCTTTGATTGGAAAAAGGGTCGTTAGATGGGCTCGGGGTACTAGAGTGTTGAGGGCTAAGGCTTAGGGTTTGGGTGTGGAGGAATAGAGTTCCGGGATGTGGATGGTTTCAGCAGCTGTTTGGGTTTTTGCGGGGTTTGCTCGGCATGTGTAGGGTTTCATCACATGTGTAGGCTTCATCAAGTCTTTATATGGAGATGTAAAGCACGTTTAGTGCGTCACGTCACGGTGTAGTTTTCATGGTGGCTTGTAGTGGATTATGAAGCGTTAAGGCAGGTGGGAAGCCAACAGGAGCTTTTGACATTGGGCCTGGGATTCCAGTACATGAAGCCACATGTGGGTACCAAGATCCGCTTCAAGCCCACCGCCAAACCCGCCTACGGCTTCTGTCGGGCTTTCTGTGCTGAAAGTGTTGGGACATTTCAGGCGCGGGGTCGGGGTGCAAGCAGTTCCAAAAAGAATCGATAGTGCATGTTGAGGTTTTCGAGTGCTCATCAGAAGGTGTGATGAACTTGAAGCAGTGCTGTTTAGAGGGTCTGGGCTTCTGGAACTGCTGAAGGGTTCTTTAACCTGCTTGGTGGTGGCTTTAGCAAGGCATAGGGTTTTCTGGTAACTCCCACCGCAAGTAACGAAACTAATATGACATTCCAAAGGGTTGTGGTCATGGCCTGTTTAGTCTGGTTCATCTACACCAGGCTGTCGGGGTTGTCCTCGACATGGCTGCAGCCGTTGTCACGGCTGTATGAGCGACCACTGATGTGTAGCTGGGCGTCCTAGGCCCTGAGTTTGGTAGTTAACTTGGGTTCAGAGCTTCAGGCTGGCATTAGGTAGGTGTAGGCCGCGATGCGTTACGCTTTCTGCGGTAGGCTTGAGGGATTATATCGTGGGCTTCAACACTCGGAAACCCAAGCCCTGATGTAGTCTCAAGCCCTGAAATCCAAATGCTTTTGGGGCACATTGCAAGGGTTGTTAAGGCTACGAAACGCTTCCAGTAGCCTTAAATCCCGTAACAACACACCGCGAAACCTACTCCTGAACCCTCGGGTGCAGACTTCCATAACCTGGAGAGGGGCCACAAAGAAAGCCCAGGTAGGCCCCGTTGGGCCCTGGCCTGTCCTTCCGAGCCTTTTGCTCGGTTCCCCGTCATTCTCCGAGGTCCCAGTGGGCTTTCGCAGGCCCAGGCTCCAACACACAGCGGAATTTGTAACAGTAGTAATGATAATGCAATAATATTAATGTAACAGTAATAGCAATAGTTATTAGTATTTTATTGTTCTTAGTATTAATATTGGTATTAGTATTATTATTA